AAAAAGCATCTGACATTGGCCCACACAATATAGAAAGATACAGATTTGGTGGGTGGACCACGCAGTAAATAAGGAGTAGGTCAGACAGTTGCACTCATAGTGTTGTGGTCAGCAGCCTGATGTGTAGGCAGACATGAACGATGAGTTGTGTCTATGAGGAGCATGTATTTGGACCAGAACTATTTAACATCTTTCTCAGTGACATGAACAGTGAGACTGTTAGCAAGTTTGCCAGTAACACCAAGCTGTGTGGTGTGGCTGACATGCTAGAGGAATGCCATATAGAGGGACAAGGACAGGCTTGAGAGGTTGGGCCTTTGCAAGGCTCATGAAGAACAAGGCCAAGTGCAAGGTTCAGGATAATCCTAAACACAAGTACGTGCTGCGCAGAGAATGAACTGAGAGCAGCCCTCAGAGAAAGATTTGGGGCATTGGCTAATGAAAAACCGGATAGGAGCAAGCAGAGTGAGCTTGCGGTCCAGAAAACAACCATTTCCTGAGTTGCATCAGAAAAAGGATGGCCAGCAAAAAGAGGGAGGTAATTGTCACCTTCCGTGACCTTGTGAGATCCCACCTGAAGTACCACGTCTGAGGAGCCCTGTCATAAGAAGGACGTGGAGTTGTTGGAAAGGGCCCAGAGAAGGGCCGTAAGGACAATTAGAAAGCTGGAGCACCTTTCCTACGAAGAAAGGCTGAGGGTGGTGAGGTTTTTCAGCCTGCAGAAGACTCTGCCAGACCATACATGCCTAACAATATATGAAGGAGGCCTACAAGAAAGCTGAAGGGGAACACTTTTATCAGAGTGTTGTGAAAGGACAAGGGGGTAATAGTTTTAAACCAAAAGAAAATAGATTTACATTAGATATTCAGAAGATATTCTTCTTTGAGAGGGTGCTGGAACAGGTTGCCTAGTGACACTATGAAGGTTGCATCACTGGAAGTGTTCAGGGCCTGTTTGGATGAGGCTTTAAGCAGACTTGTCTAGTGGAAAGTGTCCTGTCCACAGCACTTTCAGTTTTCCATATCTCTCACGCCATCTTAATCCATCTTCAAGTAAAATTTAGCATCTTCAGATGTTAACTGGACCTTGTTGCTACAAGCAGTGTGTTGTCACCTGTAAAAGAAGCAGTAATTTCTGAGGCAAATGTTCATGTCTCTGTGAGTCTCTGCTGACCAGTTAGAAGGTGAAGTAGGGCAACAATGTTTTAGTGAATTCTGGCTTGAGAGAGAGACAGGTGAGGGGAGGTGTCCCTGCCTATAGCAGAGGAATTGGAACTAGATGATCCTAAAGGTCCCTTCCAATCTAAACTATTCTATGATTCTGTGATTCTGTGAGAAGAGTTTTGAAGCATCTCTTCTTTGTGATTGCTGCCTTGGATAGTCACAATCTGTCTAGCATCTCTAAAGGGCTTATAAACCCTGGAAATATCAAACAGAATCTCAGCTTCCATTTTTTAAAGGAGTGAAAAGTAGTTTTTAATCATTTTATCTTTCTCTGCTTCTCTTAACTTGAAAATAGTGGTGAGAGGAAAGAAGATTGAAGAGAAGTTGTGGGTGCGACTAGAGTGGTAAGATCAAAGCATTCCATCATTTTTTAAAAGAAGGAATGTGAAAAACACTGCATTTTGCTGTGTAAACAATTGCCTGTGAGAACTTTCAAATTTGTCTCTGGAGGGCAGTACTTTCTTTATGCAAGTGATTCATTTGACAAATGTGAAAGGATTTTCAGCCAAGGAATTCCATTTTTTCAGAGCATAAGTAAAACTGATATATTGTACAGGCTACAGGCAAATATTGCAGTTCAAATGACATTCACTTGTAGCACATATGAGCTAAACAATCCAGGTTTAAATGAAGACAGCAGCAAAAGAACACCTAGTGGTTCTAGATGGAAAACTATCAAATCAAACTGAGCTAAGCTCAGCAACTAAAGATTAATATTACGAAGATATTTTCAGCAAGAGTGAAATTCAGAGGTGTAGAGCAAAAGAAGGCATTGACAGAGACTTTATTTGAGAAATAGGTGCTATAGGAAAGGATATCCAAGAGGAATTAACTCATCCGTCTCAGTAACAGTTTGGAGAAAAGGACGAGCTGAGCAATGTGACCCTCCTCGTTCGTACTATTGCGTCGCAGCAGAGAGGGGCAGGGGAAAAGGAGGACTCGAGCATGACTAAGATGGAAGTATCATGGAGACAGAAGGGCTGGCTTTAGACCCCCCTACCTGCTCCAAGTACTCGTGTACTCACATAGCTCACCCATTGGTTCAGGCTGTGACCTTGGAATCCCATTACAATAAGTAACAAGTGACGATTTTGATAAATAATATTTTCTTTTTTATATGTCAATACCCTTCAATAAAGGAATTTACTTTGGAGAGTTACAGATAGGAAAATAAACTGGTAATATTCACAGTCACTTACCCACATTAATGAATGCTTCTTTCTCCTCTACCATTCATTTAGGTAATAAGTAATCCACTGACATATCGAATCACATTTTACTATTCAAACTGTTAATATTTTTGATTCTGAGAAGTCAATAATCAAAAAATCTTTTACTGGAAATATCACTTGTTAAGAAAATCTACATCTTTATGATTTATTTGTTTAAAAATCATGCAGAAAAATGATTGATATTGATTCACAGTATCACAGTATCATAGTATCACAGAATGGCCTGGGTTGAAAAGGACCACAGTGATCATCTAGTTTGACCCCCTGCTATGTGCAGGGTTGCCAACCGCCAGACCAGGCTGCCCAGAGCCACATCCAGCCTGGCCTTGAATGCCTCCAGGAATGGGGCATCCACAGCCTCCTTGGACAACCTGTTCCAGTGCGTCACTACACTCTGAGTGCAAAACTTCTCCCTAATATCTAACTTAAACATCCCCTGGCTTAGTTTAAAACTATTTCCTCTTGTCCTATCACTATCCATCCTTGCAAACAGCCGTTCCCCTTACTGTTTATACATTACCCTCAGGTACTGGAAGGCCACAGTGAGGTCTCCATGGAGACACCTCTTCTCCAAGCTAAACAAGCCCAATTTCTTCAACCTTTCCTCATAAGAGAGATGCTCCAGTCCTCTGATCATCTTAGCAGCCCTCCTCTTAGCGGAGCTCCACATTCTTCCTCTATTGGGGTTCCCAGGCCTGGACGCAGTTCTGCAGATGGGGCTTCACAAGAGCTGAGTAGAAGGGGACAATCACCTCCATGTCCCTGCTGGCCACCCCTTTTTTAATGCAGCCCAGAACACAGTTGGCCTTCTGGGCTGCAAACACACACTGCTGGCTCAAGTCCTTCTCTGCAGCGCTGCTCTCCAGGACATCTTCCTCCAGTTTGTAAAAATACCTGGAATTGCCCTGACCCAAGGGTAGCACCTTGCATTTGGCCTTACTGAACCTTATTAGGTTTTCACAGGCCAACTTCTCCAGCCTGTCCAGATGCCTTTGGATGGCTTCCCTTCCCTCCAATGTATCAACTGCACCGCTCAGCTTGGTGTTGTCTGCAAACTTGCTGAGGGCACGCTCAATGCCATTGTCTGGGTCATTGATGAAGATGTTGAAGAGCACCTGTCCCAAGACCAATCCCTGAGGGACACCGCTTGTGAGTTTCCTCCCCCCCTGTCACAGACTCTTATCCTTCTAATTAAAATAAAACTTGATTTCTGATGTTCGAGATTTCTATACTTTAATTAAATTACTTTAAATGCACTTTATTTGTATATTTTGCTCTGTGCCTGACAAAGTTAATATCAGATACTTGTTAACCAAGCTGTCCAATAATTGAAATATCTTGTACACGAGAATGTAATTTTCTCTTGAAAACTGTTCTGAATAAGTAACTAACCACTATTAGTCACACTAACAAAGTTTGATAGGTCTGATACTTTACACGTGCATGCTCATGCACACACACACACACAGAAAAAAAGAAGGAATAGTTGCTGAACTATTTTAGGAGACTTGGAGAACCATTATCTTTCCATTCACTTGCTTTCTTACTAGCTGGAATGAGACAACTGAAATACCTACTGTCCTCTTCCTGAAAAGTCATTATTTTAAGGCTTGTTATAAAAGCAATTTTACTTTCTATCTTTCTTGATGAAATCTGTTTGAGGAAACCTGTTAAAGCATATGTGAGAGTCTTGAAGAGTATAGAGAAGTTGAAAGAAAAGTGCCAACTTACGGTGCAGTTATTTCAAGGTTACCTCCACCAAAAATAATGGCTCAGTTGTCTTACTGTTATACTTAGTAGTCTTTGTTTCTTGAAAGAACTTAAATATTGGGAATACAAAATGCGTGAATGTGCTGAGTAATTAAAACCCTCATTAGAAATTAGGAAAGTAACTAAGATAATGAGTAAAAAGTTTCAGATATTATTTCAGTAAAAGAAAGCAGCCAAAGAATTCTAATTCTAAATAAGCATCTTATCCAATTTTGTTCGAAAGCCCTGTCTTTACAAATAGTAGTGTTAAAGTTGGCTTTGAATTTTCTAGCTTATTCAACACGATGTTCATGAAAAATTGCAAAATTCACCTGATTTGGATTTTGGTTAAGCAATGTGGTCCTTTTTTCCTCTAATTTTTTTCCTAATGTTGATCCAGTATGATTTTCTGATTTTCCCTTGAGAAATGAGTGAAACTAGGTTTGAACAAGGTTTGCTTTTAACTTTAGGCTTTCCAGTTCGTAGAAGTTAGATTAAAATTAAGAGGCTTTAATGCTATGCAAGTTTTATGGGAATGAAGTGCTTCTACACTCCTGCAAACTGAAGCCATTATGTTTGATCAAGTGTAACCTTAATGTAATACAATGGATTTCACTCATATTCCTCTTGATGTGAAAAGATGAATAACTTAATGGAGAAGGTGGAAAATAAATTGGAGAAATGTTCAGAATGGGCAAGAATCTCACTTTGTGATTCTTCCAATCAGAAAATGCTGTGTAATTGTATTGTTTACAAACGACCTGGGAAACATAGTTGAATCAAAGTAGTGCTCCACAAAGCTTGTCTCTGAAATTATGCTTCCCTGGATCTGCTGCTGTACCTACAGCAGCAGAAAGGAGAAAGTGGGAAGAGCACTAACTGTGCTTAATCTCTCCTCTCTTGCTCTTCTGCTATCCAGCTGGGAAAGTAATACCTTGTTGTTTCCTCCTCCATCTGCAAATCAAGGCAAGCAAGGAAAAAAAAATTAAGACTCTTTCACATGCAGTAATTATATAGCACCAGCAAGAATCTAGCTGGTGGTTTTTAGTGTGCTTCTGAAATAGACTTAGCCTTTGCTCTTTACTCCAAGTAGGAGGTTATTGACATTTTTAGCTTAGTGGGAGAAAAGCACTTTTCATCTTAGTCAACTCAGCTTTTCATTAGTAAAGTTCTGCATCTGACTGGGCTAGTCAAAGCTAAAGCTTTAGCTACGCCTATGTACCAGTATCAAACACATGGTTCCTACACACGTCCCAAATTTTGAAATCACATGGGTAAGAGGAGAGGGATGGCTTTGTGTTTAAAGATGTATCACTTTTATGTGACTGGATTGAACTTACTGTTTTTCGCATAATTGAATCGAGTACTTTAATATACAGAACAAGAATACAATACTCATAGAAATTTTATGCTCTTGTAATGGACATTTTAATATATTCAAAGAAACAACCTTTAGCATATGTGTTCTCTATAAGAAACAAAATCAGTGCTCGCAAGGAACTTTGCATTTGTATTCAGATTTTAAAAGTCATAGAATCACACAATCATTAGGGTTGGAAAAGACCTTCAAGATCGTCAAGCCCAACTGTCCACCTACCACCCATTATTATCCACTAACTATTCCCCTAAGTACCATCTGCACATTTCTTGAACACCTCCAGGAAAGGTGACTCAACCATCTCCTTGGGCAATCCATTCCAGTGCCTGACCACTCTTTTGTTGAAGAATTTTTTCCTAATATCCAACCTGAACATACCTGGGTGCAATGTGAGGCCATTATCTCTCCTCCTCTCAGTGCAGCAGTTTGTATTGTAGTAAATATTTTAATTGAGTTCATTTATATTTTACTTTATATTAGAAATTAATTTGGTATTTATACAAAGTCCACTTGTAGAAAAGTAAATCTCTGAATTAATTGTGTCTTAACACAGGGAGAGTTTAAAAAACTCAGAAATCTCATTTGCACAGTAATAAAATAAGCACTTTAAGTATATTTAAGTGTGGAAGGCATGGGATTAGATAGCTAGTGAAATTAAAGTTGGTTGTTTTTTTGGGTTTTTTTTTTCCAAAATGAGAAATATTATATTCACCAAAAATCTCTATCAAAAATGGAAATTGCAGTAGAGTTACGTCTGGGAAGCTGTCTGTGAACTGGAAAGGCAGTCTAGCTAATTAGTGGTACGTATTAGATCAAAACTAGCATAATTATATAGTTTTAGGTTAATTTCCCTTTTATCCTGTTAACAGTGATTTTAGTAGAATTTAATTTTGGAGTCCATACTTTACAAAAGACATTCAACAAAAAAGGGCTTTGATTGTTCATTTCACTCAGCAATAGGATTTAGGAATGTATACTGAAACAAGTGTATTACCCTTACCATAACTGTCCATTTGCAATTGTTAATAAGTTCATGATTATTGTAAGTGAATTCTACAAGTAGATTATGTGAGATTTATGTGGGCATGTTTTTGCAATACTTTCTTTTGCTATGATTTGTAGTTCTACATCTAACAACATCTTTTATATTTAATCAGACCTTTACTTTTTAAAACACTCAATTTTTTCCTCTTTAATAATTCATGTTTTCAATTGATTCATAGAATGGTGATCTACAGAATTGCTTTTTGGTTGCTAGCAGGAATGTGTTTCTGTTTCATGAGTCATACGATTAAAAAAACCCACTCTGATATGAACAGTTAATGTCTGTCCACTGTCTCCAGAATTTGAGCTAATTGGACTTAAGAGAACTCAGAAAAAAATTATGCAAAACACACTACAATTTCTTAAATGCCACTGCACTGAATTATGTCAGGATTAATGTCAGTAGCTATTATCAGTGGTAAACAGCACTGAACAAAATTTGCCATCGTCCAGCCTAGGTGCTGCTTTAGCATTGGTTCAGTTCCTGGACAGGCAATACAAATGTCTGTCCCTCACTTTACTCTCACACCAAAAAAAAATTAACATTTAAACCAGTGCAGAAGTATCTTTGTTATGAAATAAGGGGAGATTATTAGTTTCCTATTTAAATTGCAGAATGTTTTTTCTCATCCAGTTAGACTTGTTATCTCATAATATTTTCACCATCTAGGTTACATTTCCATTCACTTTTGAATGCCTCCTATTGCAGATATAAAACATGCTTCCCAAATATTCCCTCTTGTATATTCAGGCCAAAAATAAAATGTAGTGGTTTGCAATTTGTTACAAGTCCAGAAAGTGAAGAGACAAAATAAACCATCCCCAATTATTTTCTGTATTGTCAAAATTGCGTATCTTAACTGAACCATCGAAACCATAAATATTTGTTAAGAACTGCAGCACCATTTTGAAGCAGTGAGAGACTCAACAGTTTTTCCATTGCACTGTTACTGCTACTACTGTTAGTACAGTGTCTTGAAAATATTATCAAAACACTGGTAAACAAAGATAGGAAAACAAACAAAATTCCTACCTTCAGAACTTTACTTTTTATTTTTCCACGGATTTCTGGAAAGCAAGGATACATTTTTAAAAACAGGTGTGAAAGGTTAAGAATCCTAACAAAGTTGAAATGGCATTTTCTCATGAGATGAAATAATACCTTCTGTTTTATGAACTTTGGCCTGCTAAGATGTGACTCACACAGAGAGCTCTGAGGTGCTAATACTGGTCTAATAGGTGCTATGGCTGGAGCAGCAGCTCTCCCATTCAAGCCTCAACTCACCTGGAAGGTTCCCATCTCCTGTGAGGAGGCTTAGGCAAGTTCCAGGAAAATGGAGAAAAAGTGCATTTTTCTAAATCATTTTCAGTTATAGCTCTCAAATGTAGAATGTTCTGTTGCTATTGAGACTTTAGTAGACTTAGTACTTTTGAGGACTCTGCTGTGAAATAAGCCAGGGAAGAAAAAAAGAAAAAAAAAGAAAACAAAATTACTACATATTGGAAATATTGTCAATAAGTATCATTAATAAATTTTTCTATTTTTTTTTAGATAATGATACCATGTCTCCTTTAAAGCATATCTTTCAGGCATATATACTCTGCACTTTTGGAACAAAATGTTCTGAAAGTAGGTTGGCACACTGGTCTAATACACAACTGGTCATCCACTTGTTTTTAAAATGCACAAAGAACTATTACAGGATGATAGAGAGTGACATTCAGGTATTTAACTGTGTCTACCGTCCTGTATTCTAGTTTCCACTTCTATAAAATACAGGTAGGAATATCCTATTTGCATTTTGGGATGAGGCGAATGATACCATTACTAATTCTAAAATATATGAACAAGCAGAACAAACTGATGCTGTAATTAACAGTCAGCTTTTGCAACATGCATGCATCTCTCTTTTTCATTCTAAATCATTGTCGAATGAAACCTGACTCAGTCTACTGAACTGGCTTTGAGAGAGCCACGTCTTCTCATATCCTTTGTATTGGAGGTGATCATCTCTTTGGTCAGCTAGTCTAACTCTTGGCCTGACAGGATATTAGTCTTTTAGAGTGAATCATTTCACAAATATGAGTGGGAGACTGGTCAGAACTGTTAAAACAGCATAACCAAAGAAGAGGTGATCTGCTGCTTTTGAGAGAAAAGGTAGTGCCAATGAATGTGGATAATACTTCCTCCTGAATAATTAATCTGATTAGTCTATGGGAATTCTGTTCAGAGACTGACAATTTCTGTAGGTGGAGGCTTACAGAAGTTTTGAAGCTTTCAAACAAAGAGGCAGATAATGCTTCTAAAGAGATAAAATCATTCCTTTGGTCCTGAGCTAAGCTTAGTGAGGTGTGTTTTAACTGAATATAATCTTCATTCTCCTTACTGTCCTCCTTTCAGCCTTTGAGAGAAAACAAATCTCCCACGTGTAGTTATGCAGAAATTAGATTCTTGGATAACTAACTAGAAGACAAAACTCTTCATTATATTTTTGGTTTAGACTCGTTTGCAATGTTTTGTGAGAGAGCAGTTTATTTTGGCCGCTGTTTTTTTTTTTTCCTTTTCTGTCTAATTGGGGTGATTCCAATTTTCCACTGATCTCAAAAGTGAAAATACTCAAAATATTCAATTTTTAAAATTTACTTGTATTCATATTCATTGTATGGAATGTTTCTTACAAAAACTAAAGACTTTGATTAAAAGATTTGCAATATCTGAAACTACACATTCAGATACTGTTATATTTATTCGTGAATTCTGGTACTCCAGTAAAAATTTAAATGATTTAGACTTACATTTTCCAGGGAGAACAGGTATCAAACTGAGATAATTTCCATTACAGGATTCAGGCTGCAAAAACAGATGCATATCTATTAGTCTTTGTTTCATCTTTGTACTGCTAGAAATTCTTCTCCAATAGTCACTGTAGCAATCAATACTTACTGAAAATATATTTTTTTTAATCAACTTTTTTTAAAAATGGACAAAAGTAATCCTAGTTGTTTTCTATATGACACTGTGAGTCGTCTCACTCCAACAGAAATTTAAAATAACTTATCTTTGAACTTTGGCTATTGGAAAGATCTTGAAAGGTTTATGTAAAGGAAAAAAAATTGAGCTATAGGATAAATGTGCAGTTTTTTTCTTGATGTTTTTATGGTGCCATAATTCAAAGATCTGCTATGTCAATCAGCAAAAATTCCTATCCTAATGAGACTAGAAACCAAATTTGCCTTACAAAGTCAAGATTTTCATCATCTTTTGTTAGCAAATTCTGAGCTGTTGTTTTCATTATGTCTGGATGATCTTGAAAGCCATAGAACTGTAAGATTAAACAGTTCTGCAAAGTTAATAGAAGTAAGTCATGATGGTCTGCTTTTACACGTTTGTTATTTTACACAAGTTTCGATGAATGAGTTTACTTCACTGATGGACACTTTATGATCATTTTGTATATTGGCAGTTACAGTCATTACAAGTAATCATAATTTAGCCAGCTACTGAAGCTGACTGCAAATACTCCATGGCTTCAGCCTGTGACGCCTGTTTCAGCAGCCAAGCAAACTCAAGAAGTTTCTCTCTGGGTGCTTGAATATCATAATGCCATGCTTGTAAGCTGCTGTGTAAACCTGATTACTGACTTGTGCCAGATGAGTTACAAAACCCATGAAGCAACCCAGTTCAGTGATCTGGAGTTGAGCATGCATGTATAAGTCCACTACACAGGAGTTACAGGTGCAGAGGAAAGATTTCAGGCTGTCTTAAGCATTCAGGCCAGTCATCTCTCTCCTGCAGCCTTAGCTTGCTATCTGGTCTTTACTTCAAGCATATGAAAATTGTCAGGATTTCACTTGGGTCTCTGTCTGTAGCAGAAATGTAGGATGCGTTTCAAAGTGGAATAAAAGGTTATTCATTCTTAAAACAATCCACTAAATGAATCACTGTCAGCATAAGACTAAACAGGTCAGAGCTGGATTTTCTAGTTATCTGTTAAATTGGTGGTCAACTAAGGCTGATTATAACTGCATTTTAAATTGCTTTTTAAAAACAGTATCTGTCATTCTGGATTAAGATTACTGTTATAGCATAGCCATATTGTTTTCTTTTTAATATAAAAATATTCTTTAAGCATACCTGTTTCTTAAACAGTGGGTGAGTAAAAAGGAAAAAGCAAGTCCACTAGACTGAAATGAAGAAAATAAGGAAATTATTTATAAATTAGAAAGTTACTGTTATAGCTAGACTTAATCAGTTTTTATTCATAAGAAATGAAAGTCGTCCCCCGTGGCCTGTGTGAAGGAGTGGGTTAGTCCTAGTTGGAATTCGGAATTAATCTTCATTAATCTTCACTAATTCTGAATTAAAAATTGTCCATTTATAACATGTTGTGACTACCCATGTGTCTAATTGGTTCCCTTCTTGAGTTGTTAGAAAAAAGGCAAAAAAACTGGCAAGGATGAACTCTTAACAAAACTGTCTGCCAGCAAACCTATCTCAGATTACATCAGCCTATGCACTAATGCATTTTACACTACTAATCCAAACTAAAGCAAGATAACCTTGTGAATGTACATCTAATTTTATGCAAATCTCACTGGCAGTATTGCTTCTGTACAAAAAAAAAACCTACCACCAACAACACAAAAAGAAGCCTTAATTCTCCCATCCCCATAATCAAATTCTTGTACCTTTCCAGATGAATTCTGATACAATACTTTCTGTTCTCCTTCCAAAAGCATTGGCTTTTGGATGTAATGCAGATAAGCTTGTATTTCTACTGCTGCCTTTTCTGTGTTTCTTGGAGCAAGTATTTTTTAGTTAAATTGGTAATATGCTTTGATAATCTGTCAAATTGGTCTTTAAAACATTAGGTGTACTCTGAAAATACTGCATTGTTAGTATCTTGCCTTATAAATTCAAATATATAGGACCAGATCAACTGGCCAAAAGGGCAATGTGATTATCATCTGTGGAAAGTAATGGTGGTTAAGAGAGATCTCTGATAGTTGGGAAAAGGTTAATGCTACCCCCATCCTTGAGAAAAGCAAGCAGAAGAACCAAAGTACTACAGTGGTCAGCCTCAACTCTGTTGCTGGAAAGGTCCAGCCACACATCTGAATCTTTTTTCAGATGCAAAAGACCTGTAGACAGTTAGGGCTACTCAGTTTATGGACATACCTAGGGCAAATAATGTTTGATCAAATTTCCTGCCTTCTATATGAAAAGATAAACATGAAGAAGAGAGAATATAGCAAAGCTTCAGCTTAGTAAGACTACCGAGACAGCCCCCCAAAATATTCTCATCTGGATGCTGAGGAATTCTGGAATGGATGAGTAGGCTGTAAGGTGGGATCAAAGTGTGGAGAATGATGATTCAGCATCTGGCAGGCAGCTGGTAATGAGCACATTACCGTCAGGGGCTGATACTGGAGCTGAATACTGCAGCCCAGGACAGGGTTACCAGGATCTCAGGGCCTAAAGAACACTGCGGTCTGTGAGCAGTACACGAAGGCACTGAGTTCTGTCTGCTGTGGAGGAGGGAAAAGGTCATCTAATAGCAGCCTACAATTACCTGAAGGGTAGCTGCAAAAGGCAACAAATTTGAACTCCACAGAGGAGCAAGGGTCCATGATTGGGAGGTTCAGGGATAACATGAGGAAAAGCCTCTCCACTAGAAATGTGGTACAGCACTGGAGAAGATTCTCCAATGGAGGCTGGAAAATCTGTTTTTTTGAAACAGAAACAAAGCCATGGCTGATGTGATCTGGTTTTGGTGATATAGTCTTATTTTGAGTGGGAGGTTGGACCGCACAACCTCAAGAGGGCCCTTCCAAAGAGCATTTCTATGACTCTGTGAAATGGCAGTGAGATCAGAGAAGCTGTCTAATTTTAAGAGACTAAAGGGAACTAGAAAATCTGAAGTATGGTCTTACTGCAATAAGAGAATGGTTATAAAGAGAAGGAAAAAGGTCAGTTAGTGGATTTGTTTCCTATATGCCTATATCCTATGCTGCAATTTTCCCAGTGGTTTGTTTCATTTTGGACATTTCTTTCTGCATGTCCCACATGAGTCTTTCATCTCTTCCAGTCTTTCTGCCTTCTGTGTGACATCAGAACTGCCACATCTTGTTCCAGCTGGGCAAAAGGCAGCATCGGAGGTCTCTGGTTCAAAAATAGGCTGGTGTGACTGGATAAAGAGCAAGAGGGCCAAAAGCTTGGTAAATGTGAGTTCAAGCTCTGGCTTCTGTCAGTGGAAGTGCTGTTGTTCTTTACAAGTATTTATAGTATTTATCACAATGTATCTGAAACTAGGTGGGGAGACCAAAAGTTAGGAGGGAGATGAGGGGATGGTGGATTACCTAGGACAGTATTGTTGGCTTTGAAAATTGAGGAGTTGGAGTTCTGTCAAATAGAAGTGAGGATTTACACCTTCAGAGACTGAATCTTGATTTTAGGAACTCTGCGTGTCTGGAAAGAAAGACTGACTTTTAAGATGGAGAATGGAAAAATGCATTAACACTTCAACAGTTGACATAGACATGCATTTCCATTTTTAAGAAATTAAGAAATTTAGAAAAAAATGTCTGATGCTTATGACTGCAAATCTATGAAGCAATGGGAACAGAAAAGGCAATACCAGTTCTGTGATAAAGGAAGCAGAAGTGCATGAAGCTAATCAGAACAGTCTAATGAGTAGATTAACAGTGGTTGGAAGAAAATAAGTTTTTTTGGAGAAATGTGGCATGTGAGAGTTTTCTGAGGCCTTCTTGTTTAGCACTGATATTCTGGCAAATACAGTAGAAAGACTTGACAAATACCTGTTAACCGTTTTCACATGAACACCTTCAGGTTACACTTCCATGTTTTGTCAGGAGTGTAGTGATTATATTTTTCTCATGAGTAAAAAGTGTGAGATTCTAGAATACTGCTACCTAGGACAAATATAAATTTCTCTTTAAAGATAAATTAATGCAAAAACTTCCTTCAGTTTTGGATTATTCACTCTACATGAGTGCAAAATAATTCAAAATGTGAAACTAACAGTACTATTTAGGATTAAGCACCCACTTTGTAAATTTTACCTTTAAATGTCATTCCTGCAGCAGTCACAAACTCCTGGAACTAGTGGTTTAAAATGTAAGAGCATCTCTGTAGGCTCAGCACCACTATAATTAAACCTTTCTTGCATTGATTTACAGCCAGTATTACTTGCAGGAGGGAGAGAGCTTACTCATCGGGGAAGATGGCAGACCGGGTGATGATTTCAAGTCGGGGAACAGCCGATTTCTGGACCTGATATGCCAAAGATTGAAAGTAGGGTGGTGGGAGGAGGAGTTTAGGGAGTAGCAACCCATTTATAACCCACAGCAAAGTTCTCAGTGAATCCGAGCGCGAGCAACTTTGTCACCTGCCGTCTCTGCAGCTCGTGCTCCCCGGGCGGGAGTTACGCCCGACCGGCAGCGAAACGCCGGCGGCCGCCCGCAGGGGCCAAGTCCCAGGAGGGCAGAGCTTCTCCGGCGAGGAGAGCCCACCGCACCGCCCGCTCCCGGCTCCGCTCTCCCCCTCTTCGGCTCCATCTCGGCTTTAAATATTTCCGAGCGGGAAGCCAGCCCCCTCTCCTCTCCCCTCCTCTCCTCCTCCTCTCCTCCCCGCCTCCCTCCTCGGGCCAGGAGCTCTCGGCGGCCCGCGCCGCTCCCACTCGCGGGCGAGGGGCGGCGCGGCAGGAGCTGTCCAACTTTTCAGCACAGTTCCACCGGCGCTGCCCGAGGAAGCGGCCGTCGCCGCCCCGGCCCGACCCGGCCGTCAGCATGGAGGGAGAGCGCGGTGTCGGCAGCGGCTGCTCCGCGATGCCCGGCGGCAGCGACGGCGCCGGCGGCAGCGACGGCGCCGGCGGCAGCGTTAGCCTCCAAGCCCCCAAGCATCTGTGGCGGCACGAGCAGCACTACCCGCCGCAGCTGCGGCAGCACCACTTCCTCCAGCACCAGCCGCCCCCCGGCCCGCCGCCGCCGCCGCCGCCGCCGCCGCCCGCCTCGCGGGGCCGCTGCCTGGCCGGGGCTCGCGTCAGGCACCGCGGCTACTCGGACACCGAGCGGTACCTCTACTGCCGAGCCATGGACCGCGCTTCCTACGCCGTGGAGACCGGACACCGGCCCGGCCTGAAGAAATCGCGGATGTCCTGGCCCTCCTCCTTCCAGGGGCTCAGACGGTACGAGAGGGCTCGTCCGTGCGTGCGCGGGGGGCGGCAGCGGGGACCGCTCTCCCGCCCGCCATGGCCGCTGCCCCGAGAACAGCGCTGGGCGGCGGGAGGGGAGGGAAAGGACGCGGCGCGGCGGCGGGGCCCGGGGTTCCGGGATGCCAGGTCCGTCGGCACGTCGCGCCGCACACACCCGTCCGCGGGTGGAAGAGCCAACGCTGAGCACGTGGGCGGGAGCGCGGCCGCGTCGGTGCCGGCGCGGAGCCCCGAGCGGAGCTCTCAGCCGCGCTCCGCCCCGGCCGCGCTCCGCTGCCCGCGGCTCCTGGCGCTGCCCGCGCTCCCCGGGAGGATGCCGGGTGGGAAAGGAGGAATGCGTGTGCTGCTCAGGCGAAGTTGAAATAATTGAGCGCTCTGGGAGGTGGGAGGCAGTCTGGCAAATCCAGGGTTAGGGTCTTGCTACTTTGAATGGGCTTAGATGAGAAAATAGGCTAATGGTTTCGTAGCCAAAGGGAGGAGTCCGTCATTTAGTAGTCTATTGTTCCCTGTTAAATGAGCTGTAGATGTATTTTGCAGTGTGAGGTTCACCAATGCATATTTTGCCCTTGATGGCTATCACAGACATCTCTTCTAAAAACAAATTCTCTGTCACAATCAGTAGGACATTGTATTTGATCGATCAATTCATTATTCTGTCTTCATTTCCAGTAGCTGGAACCACTTCCTTTTCGTGGAAAGCCACAGGCTTCTGTTTGAATATTAAGCGGATATTGTGAATAAAAGATTTTTGCTGAGAATGGTGGGCAGAATGGCAGTACTTAATGCTCACCCTCTAGATTTTTGATTCCCTGGAAAATCAGGTTTTTACAGTATGATATGCTCGATGAATAAATAATAGAATCCTTTATGCATGAAGATTGCTTTGTGTGTTTCTGTGGTACACACTGTGTTCTTTACTATGGAGCTTTGGCCATAAATCTCAGCAAGACATACCTGAATATTCTCTGGCATGACTGCTCTATTTCTACCCAATGTTTGCCTCATTTCCACTTTGACTATAATTGAGAAATAAAAACAGATTCAGGAATTCTAAATTAAAGCTGTACATCAGTAGTCATTAAAATGTCTTTCAATACCTTTGGCTTTCAAGCAGCCACTCTGTGGCTACACTTCTATATCACTTGTGTGAACTCATGCTTGTCCAAAGTTAATGACGTTATTTTTTTCACAGTGTAGGATTTGAAAGAACAAGTCATATGCTTCAAAATGAACAAATACTCAGTTTAGTGCTCTTTTCAATATATTGTTATTTCTTTCGCAGGAAAAAAGGAAAAAAAAAAAGGAACAAAACAAGAAAAACCCAACCACTATGCATCTGGGGCTTTCAGTCTTTAAGACTGAATACATTTCTCTTTTCTGAATGTGAAGAAGTTACGTTTTTGTAAATTGTAATGGTTGGCTTAGTACACTCAGTCTTTTCTCCATGACTGATGAGTTACTGAGGGGATGACAAGTCATGGTGGGAAGAGTACACATATCTCTTTCTTCTTTTCTGGGGGGGAGTCGGGGGGCTTGGGGGTCATTTAAAAAAAAAAATGAAGTTACAATTTCTATGATAACTGCTCAAATAGGAATTAAAAATTCCACAAACAGTTTTTTGTTTGTTTGTTTTTGGTTGTTGGGTTTTTTTTTCAGTTTTAAAATCTTTTCTTCCTTTAAAACGTGCAGTCATGCTGCTTTGACAAGACAAACTGCATTAAAATTGAAGGGGAAAGTGGTTTTTATTTTCATTTTAAGGGATTGGCAAAAATGCTTCAAGTAGGCTTCTGTTTTAGAAGTAATCAAGTAAAGAGGAGTAAAGAAGCTTAGTAAATTTGACTGTTTCATGGATTTCTTAGAAAAAATAAATTCTTGTAGTTAAACTTTCCGAATGTAACGATGAGCTATAATATGGAAACACAAGTGAACTGTGAAAAATTGCTTTATGAATATATTCACGGAATTTCAGCATTTCCAAGACTTTCATTTCAAGTTCTGGGTCAATTGCTTTTTCATGAAAGGCAAAGCGAAGTATATTCTTAGTATTCTTCTAAAACAAATAGCTTGCAAAAAATCCCTGCACTTTTGAAAAAGACACCAATTGTTATTGAAGCTGTTCAGTTCCTTTATCATTATAAGATTTCTATTATTCCTGTCTTACTCATGAGAAGAACCATTCCTTGATAGATTCCCTTGGATTTATTATGGTCCAGGCTGATAGATTTGTTTTACAGAAATTTTCACGTTATTCTCATTTAGAGGGAGTGGGAAAAATGGTGTGCACAGCTGTAAAGGAAACATATTGTGAAGATGGTATTTAAAATTACTGGCTCAGATATGAAAAAATGATACCAAAACTACTTTTTTTTTTTTTTTTTTTTTTTTTTTAATTTTCTCGCAAGAGATCATCATTCTTAAAATCCCAGTTAAAACCACCAAGACACACCTGAGAAAACAGTAGACAGCTTCGAAGCTTCTTCTGTCTTAAGTTTTATAGAAAACTTTAAAATATCTAAAAAGCATCAGTTTTTTGGGAGAGAAATGGGGACGAAGAATGGCATATGTTAAGATAAGGGTTAAAACAGAATAGTACATCTTTAATATCAAGGCTAAAGAGAGTTAACATTAAAAAAAATCAACCACCAAAAATTCTAAATGGCATCAAAGAGTTGAAAGACATGATGCCTTTGCAATTCAGAAAATTAGGTACTGTTTTGAATATTTGAATATTTCCTTTGGCCCCGTATAATCATCCCAATAATTTTTACACGGTTTATTTAGTAGAGTTGTATTTCTTTCATAGAATGTAACAGTGCATTACATAGAATAGCGTATCATCATAATTGACTGATGTTTTTTTCCCAGAGTCTAGATTATTCCTTCTTTTTTCAAACCACAGAGTGCTTTGAACTGACATACGTGAGAGTTACAAGAAAGAGAAAAGAATGAAGAAGATACGTGTGAGCATGTTGGATCTTTTTTTTTTTGCCATTTGTTTATTATGTGCTCTTGGGCAAGTCAATTAACCTGTCTGTTTTCTCATATGTAAAGTATGAACTGAAAAGAGTCATTATGGATTTCTGTTAAAATTATATTTTTAGGTCAAAAAATTAAAGATACCATGTATCAGTGGTTAGGATTATTGAGATTGGAAAATAAAGACATCAGCTTAGATATTTGTCCAATTGGTGATAAAAAAATACTCTATATAACAAATTGAGTGGATATTCTGGTTATTTTTAAAATTTCAAGTATCTCTATTTGCTTCTCACATGACTATCATTATTTCATGGTCTGTGTTCAGAGTTTAGCTGTCTTTAAAATAAAATAAAAAAAAAACTAGTATTTTTAAAGGCGATTAGTCATATGTCAATTTAATCATCTTGCCATATCATCTTGCTGTGTTCTATTTTTCACTACTGAAATTTCAACCAGGAAAAAATAGAGAAGAAATACCGTAGATCTTCGTTCCACTCACTACTCAAGGAATTCCCCAAGATTTCCTTAAAATGCATCCTAATTTCTTAGACCTGCATCTTCTTTTCTGTCAGATTTCCCAGAACATTATTTCTTTACAGTAGATCTCCTGTAAATTTTATCTGAAGTGATTTACAGGTCTAAGTTTCTTCATGAAACCAAGCTTTCATCAGTACTTAAACATAGGCAATTGCACAACAGTGAGGCAAAATTTGCCTTTGCAATCCAGAAATCATGGTACTTGTTCCCTAATTGTGTCTATTTTAAATATAAAGTATAGAACTGTCAAATCTTTTCATCTGGAAGGGATCTGCAATGAACAGGGACACCTACAACTAGATCAGGTTTCTTAGAGTCATGTCCATCTTGACTTCGAGTGTCTGCAGGGAAAGGGCTTCCACCACCTTTCTGGGCAACCTGTTCACCGCTCTTACTGTAAAAAAACTGCTTTCTTA